CAACGAGATGGATTGATACAGTGGCTGCGATGATGGGCTCGAGTATAGCAGGGATTGTGGGGCTGGTGCGGGATCGGGCAGTGTTTCGTTCTGCTGTGCACGGGGTCGCTATGAGTCGGAAACGACTCGACGGCACTTAACAACAACAACAACAACCCCAAGTCTTTGCGTATTTCATTATAATGTTTTACTTTGTCTTCTCAAGCTGCCCTTTGAAATCTGTTCAGCTCTTTTACTTCAACATTTCTTCCACTCACTTTAGCTACTCTACATTTAAGAGCAAGTTTCAGATTCTCTTCTGACATCCATTTTGGTCTTTTTTTTCTTTCCTGTCTTTTTAATGACCTTTTGCTTTCTTGATGTCTGATGTCCTTCATGGCATCCCCCAAATAGACTTCTGTTATTAATGTTCAGTGCATCAAAGCTATTCTTGAGATGGCCTCTGAATTCAGGTGGGATATACTTAAGGTTGTATTTTGGCTCTCATGGATGTATTTTAATTTTCTTCAGCTTCAACCTGAACTTGTATATGAAGAAATTGATGGTCTGTTTCACTGGCCCTTAGCCTCATTCGAATTGATAATACTGAGTTTCTCCATTGTCTCTTTCCACAGGTGTAGTTGACTTGATTCCTGTGTATTCAGTCTGGTAGGTTCATGTGCACAGTACCCATTTATGCTGTTGAAAAAGCTTGGAGGGGTTCATCTTCCAGCAGTATATCAGACAATGTCCCATTGGCATTTATTTGTAAGGGTTTCACTGGCCAATTTTTTAGTAGATCACCAGGTCCTTCTTCCTAGTCCGTCTTAGTGTGGAATTTCTGCTGAAACCTGTCTACCATGACTGTCCCTGTTGCTATGTGTTGGCATAGCTTCCAGTATCACAGCAACACACATGCCACCATAGTACAACAAACTGACTGACAAGTGATAGGATTCATAAATTGCTAGAGAGAATGTAAAATAATACAGCCACTTTGGAATACTGTTTGGCAGTTTCTTTCTTAAAATATTAAATATAAATTTACCATATGACCTAGCAATTGCACTCCTAGGTATCTACCCAAGACAAATGAAAACACATGCCCACATAAAGACTTGCATGTGAATGGTCATAGTAGTATCATTCAGAAGTCAAAAAGTGGAAACAATTCAAATGTTCATTAACTGATGAATGTATAACCAAAACGTGGTCTATCCATAAAATGGAAAAAAGTACTGAGCTATGCTACAGCATGGATGAATTTCAAAAACATTATGCTAAGTGAAAGAAGCCAGAAAAAAAGAGTGTAAACTGCATGATTCTATTTATATGAAATGTTCAGAAAAGACAAATCTATAGAGACAGAAAATAGATTAGTAGTTGCCTGGGGCTTGGGGTGGAAATGATGATTAACTATAAATAAGGGCTCTTACTGAGGTGATAAAAATGTTCCAAAACTGGATTATGGTGATGGTTTCATAACTTAACAATTCACTAAAAATCACTTACATATACTGAAAAAGAGAAAATTTTACGGTATATAAATTATACGTCATAGAGTCATTTAGAGAGGGAGGGGAGGGGGGAGAAGGAGGGGAGATAGAGAGGAAGAACATAGTCTAGTGAGTCTCAGGAGGAAAGATCACTGTATTTCAGAGGAAAGAAGGAAGACTCTGTAGGGGGAAACACTAACTTTGAACCCCAATTAAGTGATGTTTCATCATCTCCCAAAAAAACAATCTCATTGTCATTAGTTGTGTTGTATTACAGAAAAATTATATATGCAATTATAAGTCTCCATTTTTGCCTCTTAGCCTGGACAGCCTAAATATTTATCATTTGGCCCTTTACAGAAAAAGTTTGTTCAACCCTGCTCTAGACACACACTTACCCCATTAGAATAAAACCTGAGACTTGCTCTTTCTGAGTTAATAAGGGAGATTAGCAAACCTCCCTGAACTAAGAGAACTGAAAATAAACAAACTTGTCTCATTATATCAGTGTTTTTTATGCCTCATCTGTGAAAACAGTCTCAAATGCCAACTACTATATCCTTCTGCCAGTCACCTGCCCTCCAGCCTCTTGCAGCTGGCTCTGGATACGCTGGCAGAAATCAGGATTACACAGCAGGGTGAGAGGGGCCTTCAGCTGAATGGGCACAGGCTTGGTGGTCTCTAGCAGGTGTTGCCATTCCTCATCGCTATCTGGCTCCTGAGACAAAGGGGAATGAAAAAAGGTCAGGAAGATGTTGTAGTAAGGTTTACAGGTAGTAACTCCTAACCTGGGACTAAATCCCTGGAGAACCATGAAATAATTGCAAGAAACCAATGACTCCTTGGACACAGATGTAATTTTGTCAGCCACCAGTTTAAAGGGAGCTCTGGTAGCATAGTGGCTAAGGCACTTGACTGCTAACCAGAAGGCTGGTGGTTCAAACCCACCAGCCACTCCTCAGATGGAAGATGGGGCATCTACTTCCATAGTCATACTGCCTCGGAAACCCAAGTAGGGGTTGTTATGAGTCGGGTCCAACTTGACGGCACATAACAACAACAACAACAACCAGTTTAAAAAGCACAGCTGGTAATATGTGAAGGTGTTGAAAAGCCTCTTGGAGAACACTAGCACATGTACACAAAGCAATACCTAGGAAGATGTTCATTGCAGCATGGTTTGTAATAATTAAAAAAAAAAAAAAGAAACATCATAAAGCCAATCATTAAAGCAGTAAGAAACCATGGCACTTTCATTTTATGAAATGCTAAAAAGTTGGTGAAAAGACAGGTACTGCGTATATATCAGTTATGTAGTATTCCTGTCAAAAATGCATAACATGAATCTAATCATGAGGAAATATCAATTTGAGGAACATTCTACAAAATTATTGGTCTGTTCTCTTCAAAAATTTCAGTCATGAAAGATACAGAAAGGCTAGGAACTGCTCCAGATTAGAAGAGACTAATGTGCCATGACAATTAAATGCCACATGTAATCCTCAATCAGATCCTGGACCAGGAATTTTTTTTTTTTAAATAAAGAGCATTACTGGAACAATAGCAAAATTTGAATATGGATTGGAAAGTAGGTAACAGCATTAAATTGATGTTAAATTTCTAATTTTTAACGTACAGTAGTTATGCAAGTGAATGACCTTGTTCTTAGGAAACACACCCAAAAGACCAATCCACTGCCACTAAGTCAGTTCCAACTGGTACCAACACCTGAGGACAGAGTAGGACTGCCCCACAGGGTTTTCAAGACTGTAAATTTTTATGGAAGCAGACTGCCTCGTCTTTCTCCCACAAAGCAGCTGGTGAGTTTTAACTGCCAACCTTTCAGTTAGCAGCTAAGCACTTAAACACTGTGTCGCTCACCAAAGCTCCTTAGGAAAAACACAATGAAGTATAAAGGAGATATCTGCAACCTATCCTAAAATAGTTCAGAAAGATGGTATATGTGTATATTTGTGTGTGTGCATATACACACACAGAGAAAAATCAAGCAAATGTGGTAAAATGAATAAATGGTGAATCAAAGAGGCATACAGGAATTCTTTGCAGCATTCTCACAATTTTTCTGTAAGTTTGAAATTATTTCAAGGGAAAAAAATTAAAACCTTAAAAAAAAAAAAAAAAGAGACAAAAGATTGAGGTAGAACAACATGATCTGATGCAAAAAGCCCTCTGAACACACCATATGGTAAAAGAGGCATGGTGTAAAAGAAAACCATCCGTATGGTATGAACTCAGCAACATTAAAACAAAGTCACACTACATACTTCCACGAGTACATGGAGAAGCACAGCAAGTCTGGAAGGAGAGAGACTAAACTGGTAACATGGTCACCTCAGGTTTAGGTTGGGCTTGTGGGGGACTTTCATTTTTACCTATGTATTCCAATTTTTGATAATTGTGTATCCAGATATTGTGTAATTAAAATCTATAAATTAATAATAAGAAAGCAATTTTTAACACAAAGGGGGCTCATACTGGGATTGGAGATCATTGTTCTAGAAAAACAGCTACCCAGACCCAAAGTCCCATGGCAGAATCCAGGAAGAACCACTATGGCTCACCTCACTTTCCAGGTCTACAACATCAATGCTCCTCTGGCCCATCACCTCCAGCTGCACTTCTGGGAATGCTCGTTCACAATCCACAGTGGGCCGGTGTTCCCTAACAGAGGAACCTGATGAGTAGAGTAAGCTCCAGGCCTGTGAGGCTCAGGGTTCATTAACTTGTTTTCTCCCACCCCCAGGCCCAGATTAGAAAGGAGGAACCAGCCATACAGCATTGGATAGAGGTGGGTATGGCCAGGACAGGGTATCTGACCACTGTAGACCTAGCTCTGACTGCCCTCCCACTCTGGAGCTTATTCTCACATCTTCTTTGGCAGTTTTCACCTGTGGCTCTCAACTCATACAACTTTATCTTCTGGATAGAGAATTATCCTCTTCCTTTCAGTTAATGTACAACTCAGGCATAAACCCAAGCTTATTGCCATTGAGTTGATTTTGACCCTACAGGACAGAGTAGAACTGCCCCATAGGGTTTCCAGGCTGTAAATCTTTACAGAAGCATACTGCCTCATCTTTCTCCTGCAAAGTGGCTGGTGAGTTCAAACTGCTAACCCTTCGATTAGCAGCCCAATGCTTTAACCACAGCACCACCAGAGTTCCTAATTGAGATAAAGAGAAGGGAAAGTCCCCAAGGTACCTGATCAATCAGGAAAGCATCTGGAATTAGAACCCAAGGACACAGGACCAAAACTCCCAGGACCCTGTCCATATTTAGACAGTGGCTAGTGAGAGGGACCATGCTGTATTTGCTTTGGCTAGAATAAAAAATCTGCAAGATACTTCACCCTATAAATCCCTCAGTATTCTCTGCTCACCGAGGTGTCGAGAGGGCCTCTCCAGCCCCCCATTCAGCCCAGCTGCTCTTCATTTCTGAGGCCAAGATCCCAGCCAAGAGGCCTGGTTCCTGAGGGGTGGCCTTTAGCCTGGGCAGAGAGGCTGTGCCAGAAGCCACCTTACTGGCCTTGTCCTCTTGCTCAAGGGCAGGTTCTGTGCTCTGGTGTTTCTGTGGGAGGTGGGTGGAAGACACTGAATCAGAACTATTGTTACCATAGGGCATTATGGATCCAATTTGTGGTCCTTTCCAACCCTAGAAAGTCACTCCCCTTCTCCACTTCCCCCAGTCACTAGCTGCCAATGTGTCATAATCCCTTTTGCCCCACGAACCTTCTGCTTGGCCTCCTCAGCCATGCGTTTACGTGCCTGACGCAAGATGCTAGATTCATGACCCTTGGGGGCCAGCCGATGTGCCTGTTCATCCTTTAGGACCTGAAGTTCTGGGGGTAGGCGACTGGTGAATGGGGTGCCCAAATCTACAGCCACTGGCTCAGTTATTACTGCAGGGAAGCAAGGGAAGACACAATACTGGGGCTGCAGCCAGTATGGCCATTTGGCCAGAGACAACTTCAGTGTCTCCAGGCTTCTGTGAAAGGAGATCATTTTGGCAAAGTGACAAAGAGGGAGGGAGGTTGCAAGAGAAATGGCAAGGTTAGGTAAAGGTCTAGAAAGAAAACTCAAGCTGGGGGAGGAAGGAAGAGGTGCTGGATCCAGGAGTTTTGGGAAGAGGTAGATTGGGGATAGTATTGAACTAGTGCAACAGTCCTGGGGGAGGGGGAGGCTGATGACTCACTGGTGACACGGCCAGCAATGAAGGGGTGATACAAGAGGTCTGGCCAAGACAGACGCTGCCGGGGGTCCTTGGTGAGCAGTCCCTGAAGGAAATTCTGTGGAGAAAGAAAATACTGTATCAGTCCGTTTTCCACTTCTGTATAGGATCTCTCTAACTCATCAGCAGAACTAGCGAATCAAGACTCCTAAGTCCATTCTTACAGCAGACTAGCTGGTCTTGACCATACACCTTCTATGCCTTCCCTTAGGCCTCATTGTCTTGGCTACAATCAAGGACAGACATTGCTGCCTCACCTCCTAGGAAGCCCCAGTTCCTGTCCATGGACATTTTGGAACCCCAGAAGTAAAAAGGGAAATCTCAATGCCACTAGCTTTATGAGGAAGGGAGAAAAACTGGCAAATGTCACCTTCACAATCATCTGAACAAAGCAACGCTCAAAGGACTTCCAAACTGCTCACTTTGCCCTCCTTTTGATTAGAGTTTGTTTGTGGCTGAGTAGGAACAGATGCATTTATGGTTAAAGACACACTCACGCACACAAGCCATCATGTAAAGATGTATTTGTAAAGAAGCATCCAAAAACAGAAATCTTTCAATAAGTCTTCAGATGGTAGAGGGAGAGAGAGACTGTCTCTGAAAAGGGTACATCCGTTAGGAGGTATCCTTAGGAAAATCCTCAATTGGGCCTGAAACAGGAATAGTAGATACTAGTAAGTTATGACCACTGTTCTAAAAGAAGGTAGATAGTTTAACTCTAGCTCTTGCTGAAGATACCTGCACATCTGCCCAAAAGGAGATTAATTTCCTTAAAGTTCCTTTGTTTAGATTCTTTTTGATAATTTATATCCCCCTAAATAGTTGGGGAGGTATTTTTTCCTTATCTTAGATAAAGCACAAGAAAGTTATAACGATATTTCACTGTAGGAGAAGGTTGGGTTTAAACTTCATTGAAGGCCCAAAATCTTGCTGCAGTGTAGTAAATTACTTTGTGTGGCTTTTCTACCCATAAGTCTTTGTAAACTCCAAGGTGGGATTTGCTATGAGCAACTGAGGATCTCCTGATTGCTGAAGATGTCCACCTGGAGTATTTCTGTTGGGAGTGGCACAAAACAATGTTCTGGGAGGTGCCCACTCTCTCTCAGGTGCTTAGAGTTCTGATGCTATAATGGGCTAGTTTGACCACCCTGAGGGCTCTAAAGGAGACCTCCTGGAGGCAGAACTCTCTCTGACTGCTGGTTGAGGAAGACGTGCTGCTGAAAGAGACACGGGCTCCTGAGACACACGTTGCTGGGAAAGAGACACAAGAGACACGCATTGCTGAGTGAGACACCAAGGGTCCAGCACTGCTGGGAAAGAGACTGTGAGAGACTCCTGGCTGAGGGACGGTGGGCTAGGAGAGAGACTGAGCATTCTTCCTGAACTTGAATTGTAGCCTGGTGCTTCCCTAATAAACCCCGTAATCTGTGAGTTCCGTGTGGCCACTGCAGCGAATTATCGAACCCAGGAGAAAGGTGGTGGGTGCTTTAGGAGGAATGGTTGGTGAAAGGGCTAGAAGGAGGCAGCATGTCTGGCCTTGCAGTAATAGGCCTTGGGTTACTGCTGGTAATCCTGTCTTCCGAGGTCAGAATATGTGGCTTCCTTGCCGTTTTTGCACTTGCCCTAGATAAGAGATTAAAACAAGTTAGCTCTCCTCTCCCCGCCCCCCTTAACTGGAAAGGTAGTGGACTCTAGCCTGCTGAGATTCAGTTGTATTGTACTGAATGGGTACCACCTCTATCATCAGCCAGTCATCCCTGAACCATCCTGTCAGCTCCCACCAGCCAGGTGTCTGAAGATTCCTTCTTTCAGGCAGAGAGATGGAAATTTTAAGGATGATATCTAACTATTGCGGGAAGTGTGTATGTGATAGAAAATAAATAGAATAAAGGGCACATGAAAGGACTGGTATCTGTTTCTGGTATCTTAAAATTACCTCTCATTGTGATCAAGTATAGCCTGGTCCAAAGTGGGGCTGCCATTCCCCAATATGGCCGACCTTAGAACATCCTCCCAGATAAATCCTTGCAGTAGAAAAGCAAGGCTTCTTTGACCCAGATCTTGCAGAAGTTCAGTGATTGCAAAGTCCTGCCCCAGCTCTGGAAGAGGATTTTGGAAAAGGGAACGGAGGCAGAAGGAGCCATGTTTCTAATGTAAAAGCAGTCTGCCACTTATATTCATTACCTTGAAGCAAGGGCTAATGGTGGAGGGCCAGCGCACAGGGTCCTTAAGAATGAGGCTGACCAGCTCAAAGATGCTCGTGGTATAGAAGGGAGGGGTGCCTACAGCCAGTTCATACAGTATGCAGCCCACAGACCAGAGGTCCGCCGTGTGGTCATATGGTCGCTCCTCCACCAGCTCTGGAGACATGTAAAGTGGTGTGCCTTTGATGGATGTCAACACCATTGTGTTGGTGCTCATAGCTCGGGCAAATCTGAAAGACAAAACAGGACAGAAATGGAAAGGGAAAAGACAGTCAATAAAAACTAGACCTGATCATTACCCATCTATCATTGCAGGACATATCCGAAACCTGAGCAGAGAAAGCACCTTTGATTAGGTTCCAAAAGACCCAGCTCAGGTTCTAAAATGAGACCCAAGTAAGTCAAGTATATGGGCTAAGACTCTTTGCCAAGCTGAAGTATAGATGGAAGCTTAAAATTCTCACCCAAAGTCACAGAGCTTGATGCCACCACCTTTGGCAAGGAGAATGTTCTGAGGTTTCATGTCTCGGTGCAGGATTCGGTGGGAGTGCAGATAGTACAAGGCCGACACCAACTGGGCAGCAATGGCCTGGACCTAGAGGGTCAAGCAGTCAGGCAGGAAGAAGAAAGGAGGAAGGAGCCTGCTGGAGAGCCCAAAGACTCCTCCCTAATCCTACTGCTGATATCTTTTCCTCCCTTCCTTTCTTCCAGAAGGAGCTCTGGTGGCGTAGTGCCTAAGGCATTTGACTGCTAACCAGAAAATTGGCGGTTCAAACCCATCAGCCACTCCTTGGAAGGAAGACTGGGCAATCTACTTCTGTAGAGACACTCCTTGGAAACCCAAGGAGGGGTTGCTATGAGCCGCTACCAACTCGATGATAGTGAGTTTGGTTTTTTTGGGGTTTTCTTCCAGAGCTTCACACTATAGCTCCCTTAGTTTTTGCTCCCCTTGTTCATTCATTGTTTCATGTCTTCACTTATTCATTCAAGGAAGATATATCAAATGTCACTTACTAGTCATGTAACCATAGTCAAATTCTCAGAGTCATCATTGATAAAGACAATAATGATAGCCCTACATCACAGAATAATTGTGAGGATTACATGAGTTAATACATGTAAAGTAACACTCAGAATGGTGTCCGATACTTAAATATTCAATCTACATTTCTCATCTTCAATTCAAATCTGACTCATAGCAACCCTACAGGATAGAGGAGGACTGCCCCATAGGGTTCCCAAGGCTGTAATCTTTACAGAAGCAGACTGCAACATCTTTTTTCCATGGAGAAACTTGTGAGTTCAAACCTCCAACCTTTCGGTTAGCAGTCAAGTGCTTACCACCTGCACAACCAGAACTCCTTTCAATACCATTAAAAGAGACTAAAAAATCAAACTCACTGCCATTGAGTCAATTCTGACTCAGTGACCCCCCACTGGGTTTCAAAGGTGGTAAATCTTTATGGAAGTAGATTGCCCTGTCTTCCTTCCAAGGAGTGGCTGGTGGGTTTGAACCACCAACCTTCTGGTTAGCAGTGAAATGCCTTAGGCACTGTGCCACCAGAGGTCCTTATAAATACATTATAATACATATTACAAAACAACGCAACCATTGCCATGGAGTCAGATCTGACTCATAGTGACCCCTCCTTGGGTTTCCGAGGTGGTATTACTACACAAGTAGATTGCCCAACCTTCCTTCCAAGGAGTGGCTGGTGGGTTTGAACCACCATCCTTCTGGTTAGCAATCAATGCCTTAGGCACTATGCCACCAGAGCACCCACAATATACATTAGCTGTTATTAAAAAACACAAAGTTTCTGTCCTCAAAAGTAGTAATCAGACAAATAGTAAATAAGCACATAAATGAGATGATTACAAATGATGGTGAGTGCTCAGAAGGAAATAGAGTGTTCCGATAAGGAACACTGAGTGAGGCCTACTTGCCAGAATAAAAACCCTTAGAATGAATTTGGATAGAGAATGTGTTCAACTAAATCCTACTATCAACCAAAACCACTATATCCTGGTGGCGAAATCCTACCTGACCACAACCCTTATCCTTTCATGCCATTTAAGGCACAACCATACTGGCTCTTCTTCCCTAAAGATGCCTAAGAACGACACCACCATTAGTTACAGCTAATTATGTTGAAGGAGCTCTGGTAGCATAGTGGCTAAAGCACTTGACTGCTAACCAGAAGGCTGGCAGTTCAAACCCACCAGCCACTCCTCGGA